TTTTTTTTTTTTTTGTTCTTTGCTGTTTTTCTTCTTGTTCTTTTTTTAATTTTTAATCGTTGTTACCGGTACACTATCTGGCTTACGAACGCACACCCAATTCACAGGCAGGTCATCCGCGTCGTGGATCCGTCAGCGGGCACCGGCGGCGGCGTCGGCGGCTCGACCTACGAAGGCGAAACGTCGATCCATCCGAGAGGCCACCTGCGGGGCACTTGTGCCGCAGCAGCAGCAGACGGCGGCGGAGGAGGGGGCAGCCATCAAAATCCGCATCAGTTACCCACCACCTCCTATTACTACCAGAACAACAGCAGTGGCAGTGGTAAACTGCTCAGCCGAAACGATTTTGGTAACGGCGGCTTTCACTCAAACGGTAACGGGCCGTCCACAACGATCTCACTTAAAGCCCGGAATAACCATCGATCGCGCGGACAGCAGCAGCAACAACTTGCACAACCACAGCAGCCACATAGCCGTCAGCAGCAGCAACCGAACCAGCCTCATCACCTACGCTCTACGCACCTTCAGCCGCATCAGCAGCAGCAACAACAACAACAGCATCATCGTCGTCGTGACTCGATCTCGAGGGGTGGCGACCCTGATTCCGAGTGGGACGACTCCGAAGCAGCGTCGCTGCTCGATCCAAACTCGAGTGGTAACGGCAGCGTTCGGGGCGGTCGACGAAAGACCAGCAAAAGGTACAGCAACCTCCTCGACCTCGGCAACATCGTTCGGCAACACACGCAGCTGACTGGGGTCAGACACCATAGCGGTCATAAAACGGGCGTGCTGACTGGCCCAGGTGCCGCGAGTGTCGCGGGCGTGTCACGACTTCTTTCGCCCCTGTTCTCCTTGCTGTCTGGGGTGTGTCTTGGGGTCTGTGGCCGGTGCTGCCGTTTTCGTCGGCGAAGGAGGGCCAGGTTAGTCCAGCCGACGCACTCCAGCCGGGCTTGCTCAAGCTAACCACAGTTCAGAGCTGCCGCTCCCCTTCCGCAAGACTCCCCCGATTCGAATTTGCCACCGCTCTGACCTCGATCACTTCCGTTAGCATCACTTCCGATATATCACCTAAACGGCTCCCTCGTCTTTCCACCTCGGTCTCACTCACTTACAATTGAGAATCAGTATCTGTGCACGCACTGCACCACTCAACATCTAAATAACGAGCGACTGAACGAGTGACAAAGTTCTTGACTTCTGGGGGGCGTTTGGCGGTTGGCGGAAATGGCCGGGGCTGAATGACAAGTGTTTTGAGCGCGCCTGTCTCATGAGAGAGCACATTGAAACGATGGCGACCTGGAAAAATGGCATTTGATCTCGGTCGAACAACAATAATAAGATTAATCCTTGTTGCTGATCTTGACGGCAGTCATTAATCATTAACGTTCACCTATAGCCCGATTCTATATACAGTGGTCTTTCAAAATGGACAATGTTACTTGCACGCCATTTTGTTGATGCACGCTGCACAACAAAATCCCGTACATAATATTGCACATAATGTCTAATCATTTCGCGCTAGTGTTTTTCACCTGTATGCCATTCCTGCATGATGCTTTTGTTGGACCTGTTAATTTGATTTTGCTTCTGTTGGAACAATTGGACTATGCAGTATAACTACAGTGGATTGGCTGTCGCAGGTAAAGCATTGGCGTCTATTGAGTCGCTCTGACCCATAGAAAATTTGTCGATCTAGTGGCCAGTGGTGATGAAATGTTATAATGTATTATTCTTTCGGAAAAATTTCTCTACACGGAGTTAACGGTTCATCGGTGAGCCGGCTGGTGTGTTCTATGACCGGGGGTCTTTTCAATAACTTATTATATCTATTATTACAGTCGAGCATCGTACTAGAAATGACCTTTCACTTGCAAGTGCATGTGCACGAATATTGGCTTTCTAATCAGTGTTTGCCAATGTGTGTCATTAATTTGGCAGAATATCTGAGTTGAGTTCTGTTAAAAAACAATAACGAAAAGTACTTTTGGACTGAGAATTCGCGCCCTTGACTTTAACCTACCTAAGATGTCCCTTCCTTGTTGGTTTGGGTATAAACGGCGTTTTTTGAGATCACTCAGGTCCTCGTGTTTAAGAGTACTTTTTTTCTGACTGGGTCAAACGACAGGTTCATCTCTTTGAATTTGCTTTCCAACACCTACGAAAGTGAATGAGTGTCTAGTACGGGCATATTCCCATATGCTTTTGTAATGGTAACAATCTAGTTAGTTTCGCTAGCAAGTGCTTATGAGCACATACGAAGCTGTACAAATGTCACTCGTTATTTGCTGGACGTCTTCTATTATTGTTGTATATTTCCCACGCCATAGGTGCCATCTATGAAACGTAAGAGTAGCGCCAACGAATTTGCCCATCAGGACAATTCAATATTTCACGTGATTTTCTTGCGGTAATTGTAGTGTCAATACGTTTTATTTACAAATGTCGTTTGATTTTGGTTTATGTTGTGTGAATCTCTATAAAAGCCTCACCACCTCGTACTATTATGATGGAAATATTGCTATAGATTTCGCTTGCATATTTGAGTTTTACAAAAAGAACATGTTCAAAGGCCTGATTAATGACACCTTGCATAAAGCCTGCACACATATATGCATATATCCGACTTTTAAGATTTATTTGACATCGATGACTAGTCCGTTTGTAGGCATACGTTTAATAACTTTCGGAAGAATTTTTATCATGTTGCTTTGAGCGTTGTTTTACTATCAGTACATAGATTTAGTAATGATTGTACTCTTCTCTTAGTGGATTCAAAAGCAGTACGCAGATATCATATTTTTTTTTCTCTGTATTGTTACATACAGGTGCTGCACGAATAAGTAAATGGTGCAATTCTGATAAGCATTTTTTTTTTGTTTTCTGCGTTGTCTCTTCCTATTTTTTGGTCCCCTCAGCAGTTGGTTTTGGTGGTGCTGTTTCTGCAATTGTCTAGCCAGCTGCTGCTGTTTCGCGAAAATGCGCGGCTCACAACTCGCTTGGTGTTTTAAATGTTTCCGACGGCCGGAACTCCGGCCGCGTCAGGTTTTCCTCGGACGCGAGAGCACTGACCAGAAATTTCCCGCTAACAAGATTCGTAATCAGAAGTATAATTTATTCACATTCATTCCACTAGTGCTGTTCCACCAGTTTAAGTTCTTCTTGAACCTGTATTTTCTAGCGGTGAGTACACGTGCTTGGGTCTTTCGTGTGCTTGATATTTATAAAAATGTTAATATTAGCTTCTATTCTCCATTCATTTTAATCAACTGTCTGCTTGAATCCTGAGATGTCGGAGAAACACGGTCGAAAATAGCAATAGGAGTAACTATAGGGTACATTCTATAATATCATTCATATATGAGTTAGATTTTTAACATGTATACTGAACGAAATGGTAGGTACCAAAAAGGTGTGTGCTATATTAAGTTACTCGCATTGGATAAAAGTCTGGCATTTACAAGTTACTCAGCAATATTTTCCTTTTTTCTTGCTTCAACACAGATATGTTTAACGCAGCTGATTCCGGACCTTCGAATCGGCTATCCTTACACCTACTATGGCCCACTATTATTCGTTCTTTCTGTGACATTAATCCGTGAGGCGATTGACGACCATCGTCGGTACCGACGGGATATTGAGATCAACTCTCGGAAGTACAAGAAACTCACAACGGATGGGGTCGTTGATGTGCATTCGGCACACATCAAAGGTGAGGTTAAGCCTAGCATCTCTGTTGATACGAACATATGGTAACCCAGTAATACGTTCGCTTCCATTGAAGTCCTACGCAATCATTTCGTCATTTACGACCACCAGGTCTGTCTTCCGCATTAGGTTGAAGGTAGAGAATGTCTGCAAAAATGCTTGTCTTTAGAGGTAACTATAAAATGTTGTATCAGTGCATACATGTTTCCGTGTAGATCTTGTATAGCTGTCCCAGTGCGATTAATTACATTATTGCATTGTTATTTTTATAATTTTTCGACTATATAGTCTCCGATCTGATCATCGTTGAGAAAAATCAAACAGTCCCGGCTGATATGGTTTTTCTACGGACAACAGAAAAGAACGGCACATGCTTCATTCGAACAGACCAGCTTGACGGAGAAACCGACTGGAAATTGCGACTTGCCGTGCCTACAACGCAGCGACTGGAAATGACTGAGGTAAAAAAATTAAATCGTTGGCGGTGGTTGAACGAATGAGGTTGCGCTCACTTTCTAATTATTCACCGTCGTATATACATACGTAAACCGACGTGAATACTAGAGTAAGCAGAAAGTACGAGTTTTGCGATTGTAACGAATCGTAATAGTCAATCATTTAATTGGCTACGTTATGTTTTAGCAATTGGTGGAGTTAGATGCGTCAATATATGCAGAAGAGCCCAAGCGCGCTATCCACCATTTTGAAGGAACCTTCACCCGGCACGATCGTGATCAGCATGAAGAGTCGCTTGCCGTCGAGAATACACTCTGGGCAAACACCGTTGTTGCTTCCGGAACAGCTGTCGGGTTCGTACCTATATATATTCAAGAATGACGCCCAGACTCAATACCGCTTTTTGTGTATAGTAATAACCATAAAGGACAAAAAGGCTACTTTTTAATTAAACCTCTCTTCATAGTCCTTTAGCAGATTAAGATATAAGCAAAATGCCCTGCCTCATTGTAGCAATTATTTAAGGGCTGTTCGTATCTTACAGACATGCTATTTGTTGTGAGCTTGTAATAACTAATTGATAACTATGATGTCTGAATTTTATTTTTAGTTGCGTGATCTATACCGGTGTTGAAACCCGTTCAATGATGAACAACAATGAGTCTCGCTCGAAGATTGGATTGCTTGACGACGAAATCAACTCTCTCACCAAGGTAAAATTCAGCGAAGTCCCAACTTGCGAGATGCAGTGATCAAATATAAAATAGCCTACTTCATTTAATCACCACCTTTTTCCTGTCCGTCTAGCATATTGTAATGCGTAGTAAGGAGTGTAAATATAATGGGGCGCTATTTTGTGTTTCGCTTACAGGTTTGCGTAGCAGCCGTTGTAGTGCTGGCTTTGGTAATGGTTATTCTGAAAGGATTTGATGGCCCTTGGTGGAACTATTTGATTCGATACATCCTTCTCTTCTCGTATATCGTACCGATTTCATTGCGGGTCAACCTGGACATTGGCAAAATCTGTTATGCATATATGATTCAGGCTGACAGTCGCATCCCCCAGACAGTCGTACGATCGAGTACCATTCCTGAGGAGCTTGGTAGAATCAATTATTTACTTTCGGATAAAACAGGAACACTCACTAAAAACGAAATGATTTTTAAGCGGTTACATGTCGGTGATCAGGTACGTTTTCCACAGGCTGTACCTAAAAGGCGAATCAGCATCAAAAAACATCCATTAACATTACCGTTAAAATATTTCCAAAGTATTTTATGTACCTTATAGCTAAGAGTCAAATATATCAATTTTACGTTTGCATTGTATGTTAACCTGAATTTATTACTTGACGATTACAATTCATAATAATAATAGGCCTAAACTGTATCTGACAGGGCTATGGATCCGAGGGTTTCGACGAAATCCGCACAGTTCTGGCTCAGTGGTACGATCCGACAGGTAATCGAGAAATCCAGCTCCTACAGCAGCCGTCTACGTCGAGGGTGACTAAAAAGAGCAAGGCACTCAAGGTGAGTGTATATATATACATGCTTGCATCAGAAATAGATTTTTTCAAATACTTCGATTTGCGGATTTTTTTTTCGGATTGTGATGGTTTATAATACATTCATAGCGTTGTGTATTGTCGAATGATTTCGTATCAACCTTAACCTAACATTTGGCGGTGTATTTCTTTTTGGGACTCCGCCGCTGCATCTCAAAGGTACATGATGCCGTGTGGTCATTAGCGTTATGCCACAACGTTACGCCCGTCTTCGACAACAATAACTCCTCATCGAACGGCAACTCGAGCAGTCCTACTCAGGACACGACGCTGCTGGACCAGCACCACATTAGTACAGGTAGATCTATGTCGTTGACCACGAAGTGTAGCTTGGAGTTTTCATACAGTAGGGGAGTTTATTATAGAACTTTGGCTGGAAAAAGTGAGCTGTTACCCGGAGCTGTTACCGCCACATACTCCACTAAAAGCATTCGCTGCGTAGCAGTCCGCTGGACTCATCATTTTTTTGTTGATTTCAAAGACAAACGGCACTCTAATGTGACAGCAAATAAAGCACTAGAATAGAAAGGCTACTAATGCGTAAACGTACCAAATACAAAACACAATTTATATCAATTTAAATTAACATCGACAGTAGTGTGCATAATATAAGAGTGTGAATTTTATTGCCACTACTTTGACTACTGCCAGCTAAGTTTGGCGAGCAAAGTGGCATTAAGACTCTACACTGGATATATTATTATATATATTTATTGTTATTTTTAATAGGCAAATCAACTCATTCTATTGGTATTGACGACATCTCCCCGTTAGACTCGTCATCCTCGTCATCGACTCCGCTACGCAGCCCTGTTTCGAATTTCGGCAGCGTGGATGCATGTGACCGACAATCGGTGGTATACCAGGTGGGTTAACTTGCGCTTAAATAATTAATAGTAATAATAATAATAATAACAATAGTACTACCGATATAGTTCTTAACGTGAAGGATAAAATACCAGTCCTTTTTAATACGGTTCCAGTTTCTAGATAGCACACAATAGTTACTCTACTGAGGTATGATAATATCGTGAACTCTTTGTTAAATTCAAGTCATACTGATCTTTATAACTTAGCCACACCAAGCCAATTGGTAAACACCTTCTACATGACATTTCATCACACTTCAGAATTTCTTCCGGTTCCTTATACTGCTGTCGATAAGCACAGGGACTTATAAGGCTTGGCTCAGCGATTGAAAACACCGGTAGTAAAACTCAATATTCGAAAGTGCTTACTGCCTTTGATCGTGCGGTCAAGAAAGCTGGAAGCATTTTTCTCTTCTACTACCGTTTGGCGCTTTATCGATCCATGGACAGCACAAAAATTCTTCCTTCTGGAGTTAGTGACAGAGGCAATAAATACACTGATAGTACTGATATTTCAAAATGCTCTGCCTTACACTTTGCTATTATTGCCACCAAACGCAAGGCGGTCTTTCATTAGTCATACTCTTAATGCTTGAAGGATTTTTCTGATTACTACACTTAGTTACTAGTACCCACTCTTGGTTCCTAATATCAGTGCTACTCAACTGGTGTAAAATGAGCAAAAATCTTAAGGCGGAATACAACGATTCTGCTCTATCCGTTCCACTTAACCTTATTGAACTTAACATGTGCTGTTTGGCCTGGCCGATAGAACTGTTTAACTAGTTCTTAACTTATTTCCACCAGCTCTTCCCGGCTTTTGAAAATCGTATTTGCAAAAGTAAGCGGCTAAAAAGTGAGTTTTTGTCTTAGCGCCTAGTAACAATAACGTCCTACCTCTCCAAATTTTTTGAAACATGCATGAAACAACTACTGTTGAAACGTTCTGCTTCGCATATACTTATGAACACGGTTGTTGTTCAGAGTACTCAACAGAGATTAGTCTGTGGTCAATACTTGACGATATGATAAAATCTTTTCTGGTGAGTGGCAATATTGTAATTTGTGTATATCTTGATCAGCTGTATTGACCATGACATACCTATCAAAAGTCTTTCTTACATGGGCCTTACTGTAGAACGGTGTCAATGGCTCCGTAGTTATATACAAGGAATATTTTTAAATTAAATTCACTGGGGTGCTTATACCCCCTGCGCTCCGTTTCACTGAACGTATTTGATGAAACAGTTCTGATTCTATTTCTATCTTTGTTGTAAGTTAACCTGCTTCTCTAGAATGGAAACATATTTCCCATAATTATTACTGGAACACTTTTGGACCTCAAATCTATTTATTACAAGTACTCTGTCGCTCAAAAAAATAAACACTGACTGAAATTTACAGTTAATTGGAGCGCGAACTGCTCAAAATGTATTTTCAAATAACTTCAACCCATACTTATAATTTAAATTATATATACTGGTATGACTTTACCTTCTATATTTTCCACTTTTTTATTACCGTTCATATATTTATATATATATATATGTTTATATTTATTACTTATTATTATATTATAATATATTATATTATATTAATGTATATTTATTACTGTTTATCAGTTTTAAGATAACAAGATTTCTTTATGGCATTAGAATACCCTATCTAATAATAAATCACGTTCCTTCATTCACTCACTTGTCCTCTGTAGGCATCCTCACCAGACGAGGTAGCATTGGTGCAGTGGACGGAGAGTGTTGGCTTAACATTAGTGTTCCGTGACATCACGCAGATGAAGCTAAAAACTCCTCACGGCAATACGCTAACTTATACGATACTAGAGACATTCCCATTCACATCCGAGCGCAAGAGAATGGGCATTATCGTCCGAGAAGAGAGCACAGGGCAGATCACATTCCTTATGAAGGGTATGATTTCTCTCTCGGAAGCTATTAATACACATATAAAAAGAAAATATTTTTACTCAGAGAACAACGTTTTTAATTAGTCAACAAAAACAGGCAAGAAATGGCTCCTAGGCGTATGTGTCGGAAGATTTGCAATAATAATTTCTAAGTACAAAGCTGTTAGGCCTAGTCGTTATTAAGCAGTTCGGTTAATGCTCAGTAGTCCAATTGATTTGTCGTAATTGATATTTCTATGTGCTTTCTGATGTTTGTTTCTACTATACTGCAAACTGCTAGGCGCTGATATGATAATGTCGCAAATTGTCCAGTATAATGATTGGCTTGAGGAGGAGTGTGATAATTTGGCGCGTGAAGGCCTTCGCACGCTCGTTGTGGCTAAGAAAGAGCTCTCAGAGGAGATGTTTGCCGAGTTTCAGACGCGCCTGCACAAAGCCAAAGTGGCTATGCAAGACAGACAGGACCGTGTCAACGAAGTCCTGATGAGTCTTGAAAAAGATCTCGAGCTTGTGTGTCTCACAGGTAAAGTAATAAGTACACTCGTACTAGCGTACGGGCGAACATAAGCAAACCGTGAACAATGTTTTACTCACTGCTAAAGCTGCTATAACGCAAACTAGAAACAAACATTAGTAGCTTCTGAAATTTCCAACATTTTACTTGTTATTAAGGTAATTACGGTGCTTTCATGTCTATACTAGCTAATACAAATTATTATTTTATTGTTCTTAGATGTACAGGTCAAGTGGACAGTTGTTGGAGTGGCCTCTAGAATTTGCCATTTTTCTAAAGTATACATTCATTAAACCACGTTTCAATACTTAGGTGTTGAGGACCAACTACAGAACGAGGTAAAGCCAACCCTTGAACTTCTTTCAAATGCTGGCGTGAAGGTGTGGATGCTCACAGGTGATAAATTAGAGACGGCGACGTCGATAGCAAAGTCGTCGCGTCTTGTTAGCAAGATGCAGGAGGTACATGTGTTTGACACGGTTACCGATCGAACAGAGGCACATGAGGAAATGAACTCGTTCCGAAAGAAGAACGATGCGGCGTTAGTGATTTCCGGCGACTCTCTTGAGGTCAGTAGATGTCGACTTGATGAACGCGGTTGATATGCGTTAGCATAAACGATTACTAAGGATTAAGCAAGTCAGTCAGTTCGAGTTAAATCGCATTAAAAAGTAATGGTAGGTAAAATAAACTTTTTCTTTACTGTTTCATTTATCTGATACAAGATATACATTTCTTAGTACTTAACACGTTCACCTCTGAGTATGACTAGCTATCTGAGCATGGGCAACCTACCATAAAAATGTCGATTTTTGACAACGCATGGTAAGACAACTTTGGAATTCAACTTGCGATCGAATGGTAGGATAAACGAACTTTTTGATGAATATTTCTCATACTAGTGGTTACCTTGATCAAGAAGGCGTAACCATTTCTCTAAACAGTGGAACCTTGCTTCCTTTCTGCTGTGCCTTTTAGGTGTGTCTGCGTTATTACGCAGCGGAATTTATGGAGTTGGCGTGCGCATGTCCAGCCGTTGTGTGCTGCCGATGTTCGCCTACGCAGAAGGCCCAGGTTGTGGAACTCATAAAGAAACATACCGGCAAACGGACGGCAGCAATTGGCGACGGCGGAAATGACGTCTCCATGATTCAGGTCGACAAATGTTTTGTTTATCGCGGTGTTTATTACCATTTATATATCTATATCGATTTTTCAATAGATTGCAACATTTTAGGATCCCTTATATTTTGTGGTAAGGGATATTTCTCATTGTAACATTTTTGTATATGTTGCTTCTTATGTGTAACAATTACTGGTAGCAACTTTTGTGTGGGCGTGCATGTCACAGCGCTGTAACAACTTTGATCTATAGCAGCAGACTCAAGTTGCTATTTACAGCTCTGTATGTAGTTCTCTGTAAATAAATTCTGTTCAGACTGAACAGTGTGAAGACAATTAGAACAAGCAATGCAATTGCTTGGAAAAAATCGCTTGTTTCGTCTTGAGTGTTTGTTTATTCCTGTAAAAGTAGGGATGTTGCGCTCAGTCGTAGCATAAACTATAGTCGAACCAATAATCATTGATTTGATACATGATCTCATCAATAGGCGGCAGACGCTGGCATTGGTATTGTTGGCAAGGAGGGCCGACAGGCGTCACTGGCAGCCGATTTTTCGATCACACAGTTTTCGCACGTGTCCCGTCTATTACTCGTGCACGGACGGTACAGCTACAAGAGATCAGCTGCCCTATCGCAGTTCATTATCCATCGAGGCCTTATTATCTCGGTCATGCAGGTACGTAGAATATTTCATTTGAATCTTTAAAGAGTATGATACATATTGGGTATATAAGCCAAAACACATATTCAGCCATAAGTCTTTTTTCATACCCCGGTTTGGAAACCCATATTTTTCTAAATAATAACGATATACTACACTATTACATAAACGAAATCATCATTTTGATGAGTAAGCTGTATGTATCGATCAAATAACGTTTTTTGTCTAATTTTTTGCTTTTCTATGGTTGTAGGCGGTGTTTAGTTCAGTGTTCTATTTTGCCTCAGTGGCGTTATATCAGGGTTTCCTGATGGTTGGGTATGCGACGGTCTACACCATGTTTCCTGTCTTTTCACTTGTCCTCGACAAGGACGTTACCCCGGAAACGGCGCTTACGTATCCCGAGCTATATAAAGAAATGGGCAAAGGACGATCATTGTCATACAAGACATTCTTTATCTGGGTGCTCGTCTCAATTTACCAAGGTAAGAACCGCATTTGTTTCGGAATTGTGCTCTTGAAAAGCTTAATAAAGTTGTTAGCTATCTAGCTACTGCCGAAATTTGCACTTCAAAATTAAGAACAATTGAACTTGAACAAACAGAGAAATGTAAAATACCTATTTCTACATAATAGAACTTTAATATATCGAGTAAATCCATCAGCATTTATCTAAATTTACCTGCAAGTGAATTATAAGTGAAATGTGTGTTATATTTAGTAGTCAACCATATATTTTTTATATCGCCTATTCTCCATCGATTTTAATTCGAGTTTAAGAACTTAATTGTCGTTTCTAACTATCCCGCTTTACGCAAATTGCGATATCAAATAAGAGAGCCTATATGTCAAAACGGTAAATGCTTATCTTCCACCATTGATGATTTGAATGGCTTCATAGGAGCAATCATTATGTACGGAGCTTTGGTATTGTTCGAGGATGAGTTTATACACATCGTCGCCATCTCCTTTACTGCCCTGATTCTTACTGAACTCCTAATGGTTGCGTTGACAATTCGGACGTGGCATTGGTTCATGTTGGCGGCAGAATTGTTGTCTTTGGGCATCTACGTTGCATCGCTTTTCTTCCTTAAGGAATCATTTGGTAAGTGTTTGCAGCAGAACAGCATGATGCATAAACAAATATAAAAGAAGGAAAATCAAGTAAGTTTTTGTTTATTGAAACTAACTACAGGCATCTCGTAGAAAATTTTCCATGATCGAATTCTGGAAGTCCAGTAACTTCACCTTAGTAAATACCGAGAAAATGCTTCTGTTTAGTATGTTTTTGTCTTTATTACATTAAGGACTTTCGGCATCTAGCTTTTCGTACAATTCGTGCAAAATTGCTGTTAACTACTCTAATATGGCGTTAATTACTATGGTTCGATTCTGGAAATTTTAAGATGTAGCAGCAACGCATCCGAAGGGTCGTTGCGCACTGTACAGATGGGGTAGAGGATATACTTCTGCCAAACTTCTAGTTTATGGGCTCCACATTAATAAATGAAGTATTTTTTGCAGGCAGTAAAGTACATTAAATATGCCTGCATGCTCGGCTTTAATTTGATATCACGTAATATACTATTACCTGAAAGGTGGTGTTAACTCCTGTAACTATCTTTTATTTCCTGGGACGTTTTTGGCCAGAATTTATTATTTTTATGCGTTTTGTTGTAATGTGTGCCCACCAATAAGCCCATTTATTGGTAATGGCTTGGTTCATTATTCATTTTTTATCGACAAATTAAAAGTAACAGGCCTAAGAGAGTTTCTTGAGTTTTATTTTTTAATTCCTGCAGCTATTTCTACGGTGCGATCAAGTCCTCGAAATGATTTTTTCGATACACCATGAAGGACTTGTACTGAAATGTCTAGTCGCGGCAGATTTTGTCGTACTTTTCTAGGATTTTTTCAACAGACTTTTAAAACGGCATAATAATCGCATGCTATAGTAACTATTTGCCAACGCTTTTATTTAAACCAGTGATAAACGCGTGCTTATCACAAAGCATTCAAAGAGATGCACATTAACTAGTCGAATTGCGTTGGGTTTCTTTTTTATTGAAGTTGTTGAAACGAGAAATAGAATAGAACAGCGCCATGGTGACAAAACACCACACACTATTGATTATCAAAATCATATAGAGACGCTATGAGGCACAACTAAGGGTCATCATCATCTTATTTTTGAATACTAAGCGACAAATTCTCAGTTATTCTGCAAACGCAGAAAATATTCTTGTTATTAATTAAGTTTATAGTTAGTAACTACTAATGGTATTTTAATATCCTCATAGCTGTATTGCATAATTTTTAAAAACACTCGATCACTAGATTAATTTATCGTATTGTAACCCGCTTGCGGCCCTCTAACAGTAGTGTAAGTCTGTAATTATCAAGAGCTACACATTATGCTACTGAAGTACTTGCACTAATGTATTTTGCCTGGAATGTTTTATATATATATATATATATAAGCGTTGTTTTTTTCTTGAATGACTACAGCCTGTTTTAAATTCATTGCTTTTTTTAATTGTCGTGACATTTTTACTCGCACAAAAACACCTGCGGTACTCGCATTCAGTTTGATGATTGATTCCTTTATACTTGATGCCTATATCTTTGATAGCTTATCACTTTTATTGAGTGGTTTAGTTATCAAAACTTGCTCCATGAGAATTTCCTCGTGCTCCCTGCTGTCCGATCTCTTCCCAGCTGTGGTTTAATATTTATAGGGCAGGAAAATTTAGATCACAAAAAAAACCTTCACTTGCTTTCTCACCTGTGTGATCGAGCCCATCGAACCCTTTCCCCTACTGGCCCACGCTCCCAAGGGCGAAATTCTACTTCAACATAGCCTGGCTTTCGGCTCACGAACAGTCGCTAAAACGAGGCGTGCCTTTCATTTTGTCTGTATTTTCGGCATCAATTTTTGCTAAGTTTCCTCGATTCGGGTAAGTTGTCTCTTTTTCTGGTATTTCTCATCATCAATATATCACATACGGATGCGCAGTATTGTATATTGTTTCACTTTTTTTGGTAGTGATTCGTATCGCATACAGTTCGCTTATATTGATCATGAATTGCTCGCACGCGACGCTGAACATATCAAGAAGCTTAGAATGTTTTTACGCTCTGTGCTAGCTTATAATATAGAAGTGCACACGCTAAATAAATCATAAATGGAGTTCTCATAAAAAAAACACTTAGTGGCTGCCTAATGTGGACGGTTAAGGTTGACTCCTAGCGATATTTGAGCAGAATATAGAGTCCTGAGGAATAAAACGGCGTTATTTGTAGTCACAGGTATTCTCTTAAGAAACAATTGAGTTCTTATTGCCTGAACTGTGGTGTAAATTTCCTCTGAATAGAGAGCTGTTGTGGCCAAATGTGTAATTATTTTTCTTAACGTACCGAAAACTAATCGTCACAAAAACCCGAGCGACGACAGATCACACATTTTTGTTGATCGTTCACTTAGTTACGATCGTTCACGATGCGAAGTTATTGCAGTTGGCGTTAGCAAAGATTGTAAATGGACTGATTTTAGTACGTGCGTACTGGCTAGACATGTCTAATACTCAGAAAACACGTTTGAGGTATTGAATTATCTGCCAAACCCTTCTATTGTGTCAAAACGTACGCCGTTTTACCTTTAATAATTTTCTCTTTTGCTACGTGTATCTGACTGTGCAAAATCCAATGAAAGTATGCTTGGAAGTATTTGAATGTTCAGTGTTGATGTACAGTGAATTTGTATTTGTTGTTTTTTGTCCCAACAGAATAAATTTTCATTGTATGCGTATATTCAAATTTAGTTCAAGTACGTACCATACATAATCAAAATGGTACAGTTCAATTAAATACTGTGGGCATTTTTAAGGTCATTTTTTAAGCCATTCGATAAATTCTAACTGCAAATAAGTTTATCAAAGTTACAGCTATTACAGTAAACAAATAATGGAACTCCTATATAGAGGAGTTAGAGAACGTATGTACCATACATGATAAGCATTATATTTATGGATTGTATCAACGCTTGAATATTATGACAGCTGACATGTAACAATATGCACCTTTTATTTAGCAAACATATTTTCAAACAAATTAAAATGATAATCATCTTGGTATGCCATTCAGTGTAGGTAATAAGGCAAGCAGAGTATTTGGTTTTATCTTTCTCGGTATCGTAACTCATTAAATATTGTTATGGTATGATGTAACTTTCAGATAAAAACTTCATTCAGAGCGGCGATTTTATTTTCAAGGTCGTCTGTGTTACGCTACTGTCTTGCGTTCCCTTGGTTCTGTTGAAGTACATGCACAAGAAAGTGGCACCGCCCTCATACTCGAAGCTGTCATAATACGAGGATAATCACCAATACAACTTCATCATCACCCTAACGGCTTGTCAGCATTTTGCGCCTTGACAAATTCTCACGCGAGGGCTGGAAAAAGTGAACGCCATACAGCCATAACAACTATACATAAAAAAATTCTGAAGTGGCAAGAAGGAGGAGCTATTCTGTGGCGTTTAAAACGAAAGTACATTTTCCTATAAACTTTGAACTATTATTAGCAAAGATGGCATCGGCAAACATTTGGTAGCATGATCGACGCAAACTAAGAACAGGAAAGATTACAACATTTATCATCCAGTGCTCTCGCAGAAGTTGTATAGCATTACCGGTTATTAAAATGCCGTGTACCATGCTACGAGTGATGTTTTCTTTTAGTTGGTTTTAAATGCGATGGCGAACCCATAATCTGTATGGAAAAATGGAACTTGGATGTGATGCTGTAAAGTGGCTCAGGTTCTCTAGGCGGTTTGTGTTACAAATACAACCGCCCTTTGTAACTCAGCCGCCGAATACCGTAAATGAATAAAAAAATGTCATTGACCAACATATGCAAATGGTGGTAGGTAAATTATTTTCGCGTAAATTAGTTTTTTCTTAAAAACCTTTTACGCCACGAAGAACCTTCTGGCTGTCCTAACTGAAAAGATTACATCCACGGATTTTGAAAATTTCACGGAATGTTCAGTATTATAAATGTTTCTTTCAGATTTTAGTCCTTTAGATTAAGGTACGCCCGTCTCAATATAAACAACTTTTTTACAAAGGCAATGAAAAAAGATCGTTAGCATGCAGTATTCGAGCCAAATCGTCAAACGTCTTACTACTTAACGGAAATACCCAAAATGACTAGCCTTCGTCTGTTTGAAAATGCGAGTGGTCTTAAAAATATTTACATAATACAAATATAAGTGTGCGGAAAGTGGATGCGAATTTAATCACAATGCCAGCTATGTGAAAAAGATCCTTGTCCGGTTTTATGGCTGCCCTATTTGTCTCTAAGTCCCTTGACACAGCTTGATAGATTGTCTTACTGTTGCCATCTTTTCTGTTCTAGTTCTAGGAATTATATGCGTACAGCGTATAAAATAAGCTTTAACTTTGGTTAAATGTATACAAGTTAAAAAAGTGGGTTAAGATGTTGTAACGTTAGTCAGCAATGGGTGATACAAGTTGCCAACTAATTGTTTTACAAAGAAAAATGTTTTACGATTTCCTTTGGAATTTATTAAATACAACTGGCAAAAGTGAAACGACCTATTACATTGCTGTTTAGCAGATTTAGTCCAGACTGTACAAACTGAATTAAAGGTGAGAAGAAAACGCTCTTGGCTGTTCCTACTATGTGAACAAGTCATCGGAATTACCTCTAAAGTATAGCATTAAGAACCTGCTTCCCTTGGAAGTTCTAGTAGGGTGAGTTTTACTAAACTGATCTGGAATTTCCCAAAGAGGGTTACGAAACGCCAAGGTAACAATTGGCCAACGCTGAAAGTTGAATCAAGGATGGGAGCATGTTTATAGCTACCATGGCAACAAACTTAGAGACGCGCATGAGCTATCCCGACCAAACCGCCTGATTCTTCAAAATTCTTCTGCGCTGTGGATGTCGAGAACGTTTACCCCAACATTTTGAAAACATTTGTCCACCTTTCTCTGTTCTACAGTATTGGGCCAGCATTTATTCCAATAACCTTTCCATTTCCATTGTTTAAAATGCCAAATAATTGTCGTTTATATCAAGGCGTTTGTTGTATGCAGGCGATGACGGTTTTAGTTACTACTGTTTGTCTGATGAAGACAAGTTATGCTGTAGTATATGTCCAGTTGATCAAGATGGGTTTTTTGTCAGAGACTTACAATTTTAGTAAATAGTTCAAGTAAAAGCATGACACGCTGTACAATGGAAGTGCTACGAAATGAAATAATCTTTATTCGAAATGGCAGGTAAAGAGACAAACGAAATCGCGTAGAAGCGAACTAAACGGAGGCTTTCGGACTGTCCCATGCATGAGTGTACGAGAATTATGTTCGAAGACAAATCAATCTAAGAGATATCTTGGAAGAAAATGATGATATAGTGTGTGAAATAATTATATACACGAAATAGAAAATACGCTCTAGATATGGCCTAATTAGATATTTACAAAGTATTTCTTATAATTTATTGTCGCTTATATTTGCCGAAGGTTCATTAGTGTGTACAGAATCTTAAAAATTACAAGTTTAAAGCTTGTGTGGAAATATTATAATTTTGGCATATTCGATTTGCGGGAAAAAAAAAAAAACTTTAGTCATCGGTTTACTCGTAGCTCTGTGTTCCTTCAGTTTTGTTCGTTTATTTTACATATTGCTGCCACAAAAAATATATTTTTCAGAAATTTCAATATAAACAATGGCTTTAGTGCAATTTTGTATGTAATAACTTGTTCGAGAAAGCAGTCTGTGTACATTTTTGAGAAACTACGAGTAGCCAATGATTTAATAGCAAACACCATTTAAAATTTACTGTTATGAGAAGATTTTATAAGGATATTGACTAAACTCCTTAATAGGTACGCCAATACTTACCGAAGACTATTAATGTCGAAAAGTTATTTTTTTGAATGAATAATATTACTTTGCAGGTAGAACGATTGTTCAGTTTAGCAATGGTTAATCCATATGAGCAACTGCGCAAAGAAGAGATAAGCTAAGATTAGCATGATTTTTTATATAACTTATTGCTCTAGACAGAAATAACTAATTAAATTTAAACAAACCAAATAATTCCACGTGGAGGATTAAAAACGCATAAGTAGACAACTACTACCTATCAATGTCAACATGACAGCACTGACGTCAATTATGAGAATATATAAAGCAGAAATCATGTTAACTAACATCGGATTAAAAACAAACATGAGGTTAAGCAGGAGAGAATACTTGTAAATAAAGATTCGTGTGATATTATGCATATATATAATATATATATATATACACACGTATATATATATATATATATATATATATATATATATATATATTAGCCAGTTTGTTCAAATTTTATGGTGTTTTCAACTCATTAGTTATAGATTCGCTCTATGATAGCTTACTATTACAGATAGTATCGTAAGTATCACGAACATCCTCGGCTAAGTTAGCTGTTGGCTGTCTTTTAATGCAAAAAGAAGATTTGGAGAAAGCAATACCAATTCAAGCCCAATTTAAGTCGCACGGGTATTTCGAGCACTTCGCAACCGTAACAAGAGTATAACCTTATGAAGGCGATTTAAGTTCTATGTTATCAAATTTATAGATTCTACTGTGTAAGCCTTAGCTAAGGATAGTATACGAAAATGTAGTACATACTCGAGTTTCGAAAACCAGCAAGGCCTTCATTTGATATATATCAAATAATTTAGTTAGGGCAGCTTTCGTTGGCGACTTGTAACAAATAATTGCGGTGTTAGAGGATTTATTGTTATAATTTTATTCTAATTAGCTGACAATCCTGCGTTCTATGCTTTTTGTATAGTTAGTGACTTCTATGGACAATGGCTTCGATAGATTGCACAGATCCTTGATCACATGTTGTATATGTGTATAGAATGATGTTTAAATCGGCCACGCCTTTTTTGCTGCTTCTTTCCTTTGTTGCAGATGCGGATTTTCTCAAATCTCCAGAATTCCACTACAAGGTCGTATTAGTTACAATTGTATCCTGTCTTCCGCTTTACGTGCTCAAGTATCTCCACCGGAAGGTAGCGCCCACATCACTTACCAAGCTACAGCAGTGAAGTGAAATGACCACAAACGTTTGCTGTCTGTGTTTTGCCAGCAGTTGCGAATGTACTGATCGCATAGTGCAAAATGGCCACGCACATCCGAGAAAAGCAGGGCAGGACCGTCGATATAGGAGCTATGTAATACTGGATATCCAAGATAAATCTAGAGCGACAGGGCGTTGCTAGGAGGAAATGAGTATAGCTTAGAATCAAAACAATCAATTGAAGACATGCTACTCAAGGGCAGAAAAGGGGCAGAAGTCATGAAGGGACCTGGATTTGCCGCTATAGGTGACAAAAGTATAGTCGAACTCGAAACGACAATGACAATGATGATAATAGAAAAGAAACGACGTGACCTTTAAAGATTATGCATAGAATTAAATACTATATGTATTGAGCGACTAGCAGCCAATCCCATGCTTTCTAAATACTATCCCCATGTAAAATATAATTAATATGTAAGTATTAGTATATAGAGATAGGAAAAAAAAACTATATATTTTTTTTCTATTTGTGGTATGCGAGACATAAATGCGACTGCAAGCTATATTTGAGAGAGGAAAAATATCAACTGAGAAAATCCAGCAATATGCAAATAGCAACATGAATGATCATATCGATATCTAACAATAATATAGTAGTAATGAACTATAATAGCGCTACGTGCCTTGTTGCAACTTTATTTTAGAAACATATATATATATATACATAGACAGTTGATACTAAAGATAGTCGATAAGAAGCGAAAGCTGTGTGTCATCAATGAAAAGAATAGGTGGATAATGAGTTGAATTCCGCTGAAATGAGGCAGTTGTCAACACATTTCGTGATGTGAAAACAGAAAGCTTTAGAAAAATTGAACACGGCATCTGTCTAGTGAATTGTTACGGAGACGTCGCCTGGTGTATTTGACGTACGAGCAGCGAAAAGGTAGCTAAAAAATCACTGGAGGGCCTACAAGTAAGCAGATGTATTGAGAATGCTATTAAAAAAAATTGATTCTCACATTATGAGCCAGCAGTAGGCAATAGAAAAACATAATCATACTAATTGAGTCGCAGTGATTATACCTGCTGTTATTATACTGAAAATCGTCGTATGTTGATTGTTATTACACTAGTTTTTAATATAACTGATACAAGTAATAATATATATATATATATATATATTATTGCTTATATAAATAGGTAATGCGCAAAGAACTGGCAAAATAGAGGCAAAAACATAGGGATCAATCTGCCGGAAGAAATTTAATGAAATATTGGCAGCAAGCCGTCCAAATAAAGAGTGAAATCTCTTGATAGTGTGAAACGTTAGGCATCGGCTACGAACCGAAGAGAAAAAAATAATTATAAGTGAGAATAAAGTATATTGTGATAACTGTTTTCATCTAGGCGACTGTACTTATGCGAAACAGCTTATTGCCATCTCCAATAGGTTATCTAATCTTCACCAGACCTTGTAGTCAAGCTATAGCAGTATCCAATTCTTGTATGTACCGTATTGGCAAAGAATTTTCGTCCCTATACTAGATGCATATTTCGTTTCGTTCAGTTAGTTATTCAGCTTCCTTCAGCTTATTATGCCAAAGAAGTTCTATAATCAATCTCTTCATAAGCAATCTTTACCAGTCATGAACTAAAGGAAAATATTTTCTATTTTTACGCCCGGAGCTGGGTCAATATTTCCTAGGACGTCTGAGCTCTAGTACCGAGCGAACGTGTCTACCTCACGAGATTTGTTTCATATTTCTAGCGTTCGTAGGCAGCATTGCCTACCATAACATCGTCGAAGCGAAATCAATCAGTTTCGATTGAAGACGGCGTCAGCGGTACCCATAAACAAAGATCATAAAAAATGCATCTCCCTCTACAGTTGCCTATAAGAGATTGTTTGAAGTAAATATAAAGAAGGAAGTAGTTGCAATAACATTACCATGCTGACAAAGATAGCAACTATTCTAGTTGACTCGACAGACATCTTGAAATCTATCGTTGCTGAAATGTTGTACGACGTATCGTGGATCTGAGATGCGCTACAATGGGCAAGTTCTCTGGGTTGTGTTGCATAAACGTCCTGCATGTTGTGATACCTTAAACAGGAATATACGTGAAGTCAGATCAACAGGGTTGTGCCGCGGCTTACTGCGTTGCGTATACACAGGGCGTTGTAAAAGCTTAGTACGAGGCCTACGGTTTGTCGATTCTGCTGGAAATATTTTGTGCGTCCTTCTATTATGTCCTTGCTTTGTCAGTTCACTCTCAATTTGTTTTGTCTTCATTCTTCTTTTGCGAAATAGCGTTGAAATATGGCGAGGGACCTAAAAGCTTAAGGAATTGAGGTGGTCCTACGCCTGTTAACCTGTCAATCTAGTTTTAAAATATAGTCCATCTGCGTTGTATGACAGCGGCGGCTTTGTCTATATCACGCATACTATTGCACGACTTCGGTTCGGTTTTCGCCTATTAACTGCTGGACTCTCTGACTTCAGTGAGTTTGTTGGCTTTGTGATTACTTTTAGGCGTAAAGAATGAAGCCTGATGCGAATCATATCGATTAATTTAAGAATAGAAAAGGCTCATAATATTGAAAAGGCTTGCAAGAACGAACATTGACGAGGCTCGTGGTGCCCTTTGAGCGCAAAGGGACGGCGAAAAAAATATCCCGAGAAGACAGGTCGAAATATCTGTTCACATCGTGAAGTGTGCTGAGGATCGTTACGTATGTAGTGAGATTGTGCCAAATAGTTCGTATGCTGTCATAGTACTGACTTCATCCTAACAGAAAACGATAATTTTTTAATTATCATTAAATTTATGTGTGTACTAAAACGCCGGTGTTTCCACAGTTCGTAAAGCTGCGATACATGTTAACTTCCTTAGATTTCGTGACAGCGGATTATTATTGTTTGATGCCAAATATTTAATTGCAAGCATTGCTACAAATTTGTCAGCTATGAAAAGCGAATGATATATTTCTTAGACGTCAGTTACCCACAGCGTGTGATCGGGCTCCACCAGAAACATTTTCATTTATAACGCACACAATGGTTTTGACTAAACTGCGTAATGTAAAATAAAACAATCTTTAATGCTGGACGGAATCATAATCGTGAAGTTTTAAAGCCTCTGCAGAGGTTCAGTGATTTTTGCGCGTTCTTCTTGTCAATTTAACAGTTGCATAATATAATCTCAACTGAT